CCGCTGCCCAGTACCCAAAACGCCTCCCGAATAATACTGTAGATAGCGCCCGGAATGTCTCGCAATCTACAAACGAGCAAACATGGACCCAATGATTTCCCGGCTCTTGAGGAGGTTCATAACCCTCAACCTTTCATTGTCCAAGTGGGCGGAATCCGACGACTGTCCGCAAGGGAGGTGCGCGGCCGGGGCGCCGAACTCCTTCTCGAGGAAGCGGATCGCGGGAATAGAGCCGCCTTCACGAATGTACAGAGGCTTCTTGGGCTTCTGCGTATTCTTATCCGTTGTCTCCGCGGACTCCGCCCCTGTACCTTCACCCGCAAACACGGACGACCACGACTGCATAATAGCCTCCTCGAGCGTCTGGAAAATGGCATTTGTGGGATCGCCCAGCCACGGCTCGGCCTTGTTATCAATCTTGATGGTCAGCGAGTTTTTGGACTCGAGCTGCGCGAACTCGCTCTCGAGGTACGAGCCCAGCGATGCAATGACGTCGTTGACCTCCTGGCCCGGCACCAGACGCAAGCTGATGTTAGCACTCGCGTGGCTGCTGACCAGGCTGCCGTCCGGCCCTGATACCTTGTATCGATGGATAGTCAAGTTGGGTTCTCTCCAGCGCGCCATCAGTGCGGCCTTGAGCTTGTCGGCGGGCCCCTTTTCTGGGTTCTGGCGCATGAGCGTGGCTGCAATGTCGTCGTAGCGCGTCTCCTCCTCGGCTGTGACGGGAAGGATATCGTCGTAGAATCCGGGGATGAGCACCTTGTTACCGGGCCCCTTCAGCTTTGACAGGGTGGAGGTTAGATCTGACAGGGGCTCGTCGTTCATGTAGGAGCCGTCTACACCGGAATGCTGGTCAGGCAGGTGTGAGTCGACGCAAACAGTGGCGTGCAAAACGCCACGCAGGCCGTACGTCAGGCAGGGGACCTCATCGTCGAGCCAGTAACTGTTGGCAAGTAGGATGTAGTCGACGTCGCCGATGAGGTCCTTGTGCTTGCGAACAATCTCCCTGAATCCGCGAGAAGCCGATTCTTCCTCTCCCTCGATCAGGAAGATGACGTCGTTGGCAAGTTTCTTAGCTTGCAGCAAGTCTGTCACAGCGAACAACGCAGCCATGATCGGGCCCTTATTGTCACTGACGCCTCTGCCGTAGAGGTATCCGTTGACGCCCCTCATTTGGAATGGGTCAGTCTCCCACTTGCCCTTCTTGGTATCTGCCGGGACGACATCGTAGTGGCCGTAGAACAGGATCTTCTTCCGCTTCTCAGCCGGCTCCAAAACACCATCAAACTTGGCAAGAACAACGGGGTTGTGGGGGCTGCTCTCGGTGCTCAGCATCTCGACATGGCCGCCAAGCCTCTTGAACAAGGACCCAAGGAACGTTGCACCTCTTCGGCAGTCCTCTGCGAATTCTGGGCGTGACGATACTGTCCGGTAGGACACGAACTCGCCTAGTGTTTTAATCATCACGTCGTTGGCTTCCTCTACCTCCTTTTGTTGGTCCTCGTAAGACGAACAGTCAATGTTCCAGATGGCAACATCATCGTCGTTGCCGCCGGTAATGTAGTACTGTCTGTTGTTGTATGTTGTCACTGCTGACGAGAGAATCTTGCCCTCGTGAGCCTTCCAGCGCGCCACGCATTGGTACTTCTGGCTAATATTCGCCACCTGCTTGTCTTGGTACTGGCCGTAGTGGGCAGTGGTGTGTTTCTAAGGGTTATTAGCGATGAACGAAATGAGGAAACCAAAGACCTTACACTCGCAGAACCAGAGCGAGAGGCGCTGAGGAGATAGCCCCAACCCATTTGCAGTGTCATGACATCGCCCCTATGCCCCTTGATCACTCGCAACTTGGACTTTGTATCGAGGTCCCACAGTTCAATGACTCCTTGCAGCTTCCCAGCATACAAGAAAGACCCGTCAATCGCAAGAGACATGACCGACTCCGCATCGTCGGTGCCGAGCGACATAAGCTCTTGAAGGCCAGGTTCGCGGTCTTTATCAGCCGCCTGATCGTCTCCCTCAGCACCAAGCTTCCACAACTTGATGGTGCCGTCTCCGCCGCCCGAGATGAGCACCTCCTCTTCAGGTTCCACTAGAACGGTAGGGCCCTTGGCCATGAGCATCGAGTAGACATAGCCGTAGTGGGCAAACATCTGCACAGCCCCCGGATGAATTTCCACCACCTTTTCAGATCGCGGGATCAATGTCCACCTCTCATCGTTACGGCGCGGCGTCGTTGTCCCTCCTACAGCTCGGGAGTCGAAGAACCTGTGATTCCGACGGTCGGGGTGTTGTGATGAGTCGTGAGTGGTACGGTTATTCGGGTCGGTGAGGCTGACCCATTGAATCGAGGTGTTTTGCGCCCCAACGTACACCGTCTCGTGCTGGGCGCTGTAGGCCACGGAAAAGATGTCGCCAACGTCGTATGTGCTGTAAATCTCGTACAGGCGTTTCATCGTCTTGGGACACCAGACGTTGATGAGGGGATCTCCGGCGCTCGAGAACAGCATGGAGCCGTCGGGGGTAAGGAACAGGCTCAGCACGCTGCGCTTGTGAGCCTGGACGATGCGCTCCTGGTGGAAGGTGGCCAGCGACCACACGACAATCTCGCCATCTTGGGTGCCGGCGTATATGCGTTCGTTCTCGGCGCTGACGGCGAGGGCGAGGACGGAGCTGTCGTGCTTGAGGTTGTGGAGGAGTTCGGGGGCGACCTGGGGGCAGTCGTCCGTGTCGCTCAGGTTCGTGGACAGGTCGGAGGCCGCAATGGCGGAGGGCATTGTGTCTTCTGTCGCGCGAGAAGGGAGGGGGGACAGCTTGTCAGCGGAGGTGCTCAGGCGAAAGAATGCGACCGGTCGACCCAACAGAGAGAATGGAATGGGTCGATCGAGGTTGAAGGAAAGGGGAACGTTATGTGGCGTGTTGAGACAGGAAAGCAAGAAGCAGACGTTGGATTGTGACGCATTTCCCAAGATGAATCGGCCAAATTGGCTGCGAACTCGCAACGAAAATGGCGAATGACGAAATGCGCTAAAAAAGGGAGTCACTCCGCCCACCATTCCCCCGGGCAGCGTGGATCTCCCCGTAAGGGACCTCTCCCTTAGGGGTGGACACTGTGGACGTCCCAAGGTTTTGGGCTGAGTGGATCGTCCCTAGGTGCAGTTACTGCCAGCCCAAGTGCTCTAGCTCCCGTAGCTACAAGGTCCACTGCTGTTTTCTCGGGGGAACTACAGGGACTAATGTGACACGAATTGTCACTCTGAAGCATCCCGCCCACGTCTTGTGACACTTGTCCCCTTTTGAACTTTCCTCGAAGCCCAGCAAGTTTGATCAAGTTACGATAAGAGACAGAGGCAACTCACCATCTTCATACTCTTCAGAAGACTCGGAGCCAATCGATAGTTCGACTAGATCCCGGTGTATCTTCCGGCACCCTTCGCAGTCGTCCTCGCCCGGGGCGTGGGGCTCACCAGATTTGTAGACCACGGCCATCTCCTCGAGACGGGAACGATAGCGTCCGCGGTTCTGACTCGGAGTATCCGTACGCCACGGAAGGATAAGAACTCGTAGATGGGCTGAATCCGCTTCGATCCTGGGGTAACTTGCCACAAGTCAAAGGTGGGGAGGGGGGTTTTCTCTATTTGTACGGAAGTCCTGATGGCTTTGACTCTCTCACCGCTTCATGACGCAACATTGGAGGAGATGGTATCATAGGCCCGTGATAGCAAATATAGGAGACTGCAAAAACGCAGGTATGATTAGGTATGATTCAGTTGAAGGAAACGAGATTAAGAAAAACCGGGCGGCCGGGAGTGACCTTAAGCATGAAGGAAGAACTGTCCGCAGGGCCGAGATCGGTTGCGTGATTTCACATTTCACAACTTCGTACAAACTACGAGCCGTCCGGTGGGTGCCAAGCACCATTATCGCCTGGACCTCTTCCAATCCTTACGGACGTGGAGTCTGTCCGCTTCGGCATCCATCCATCCAAGCCAGCCATAATCCTTCTCAGCAAGTGACACCTAGCTGAGACAGCCCGGGATGGTCGCCGACCTCCCTGTGAGCCCGTGAGATATGGAGGAAGAAGGCCTCAGCAGCGGGCAGCAGCGTAGCTCACCGCAAGATTGGTGTCCGGATGTGCCAGACTGGCAGACCCCCAAATCCACATCCAGGGTGCGCGTGGTGATCTTCCGAAGCCACGGCCCCCAGCAATCTGTGTTCTGTCCTATTGGAGGGCACCACGCTCCCGGCGACGAAAACGGAGCACCGGTGAACGGCCAAGTGTGCCCAAATAAGGGGACAAAGGCCGGCAAGGGTGTTATCGAAGTAGCTGTCCGTTGTATTAACCCGATAGGCCTCACTTCTCACCCGTGGTCTCAAGCAACCTGCAGATCCGTCGGGTAGGAGTCTGCCGTAAGCCATGTATGATCGTTTGGTTGAACAGACGGCGGGACGAGATATCACTGCACCAACATTTTTACCCAAGGTATGTTAAGGCGCACAGCTATATTGCAGTACGACTGGGTGGTGGAGCAATAGCTGAATATGGGGCTCAAACTTTCGCCTTACTCCGTAAAGTTTTCACCATCGATCAACTATTCAGGGCATGCAAGGGATCTTGGGAAGTTGAGCAATGCGAAACCGTCATGTTGACATCAGACCAGGAAGAAACATGGGCGTCGGCCTGGGCAGAAGTCGTGGCTGAAAAGGCGTTTGGGTAATTGCGGCAAACAAGACCAAGGTACCCGTTGCTTTGAACTGCCTTCATTTGGGAGCCCACTACAGCAGTGGCCAATGACCGAGCTGCATGATGACTGTCATCCGTCTTAAGGCTGACTAGCAGGATAGAAATATCTCACACACCAACTTCTTCTAGAAGAAAGAGTCACCAAATCCAAGTGTGTGCTGGAAGATCGCCTTCACTTTACACGAAGCCATCGACAAGCTTGAGTCAAGAGTCTGGAGTCTTGCAGACGTTGTCTCGAGACACACCCGTTGCCGCCATGAGCACCGCGACACAAAGGAAGAACAGAGTCATCCATCCTCTGACGAGGGAACAGACAATCCGCGAAAGGACAATCTTCCTCGCAGGCACAACAAGCAAGAGAGACTGGCGCAAGGATGTCGCCGACTCACTGGCTCATCTGCCGGTGGTCATATTTGATCCCTTCCGGCCGGACTGGGACAGCACCTGGAAGGAGGATATTTCGGATGAGAGATTCAGCAACCAGGTTAACTGGGAGCTGGATATGCAAGAGAGGGCCGACATCATCGTTGTTTACTTTGAACCGGAGACAGAAGGCCACATCAGCTTGCTCGAGTTGGGACTTTGTGCTCGCTCAAAGGGAAAGGTCATCGTCGCTTGTTCTGAAGGGTATAAGAAGAGGGGCAATGTTCAAGTCGTCTGTTCGAGATATGACATTCCATTCGTGGAGAGCTATGAAGAGCTGGTTGAGAAGCTGATCCAGAAATTAGAGGCAACCGATGTCAAGGCTTGAGGAGAATACTTTTATCAGTTCTAAGAATCACTTCGCGCCGTGATGTGCGGCCAAGATGATTCACGCCATTCATGTACCAAACACTGGGGAGGAACAGCCTCACTAACTCCGATACTCGACTGCCTTTCTCCGATACGGCGGGCCGAAGGTATTTCCTTCCAGTGCCTCCAGACTCGACTTGCGCTTGGCAACCCCACTTGCCTAATCCGACATGGTTCGCAGGCCCTCCAAACACCCAGAGCTTCGAGGGCAACTCCTTCGCAAACCAACCTCGTGCATCTGCTCCAAATATCTTAGCTTCCCTTGCTATAGCTCCTTACCGACATTCTCTCCTTCATACTTTTTTGTCTAGTATAGTTGTTAGAACACATATCCTTCACAATGGACGACCAATTTGGAGGCCGCACAGACGACGACCTCTTCTTTGACGACTTTGAGCCTGTAAGCAACCCCCAGGCCATCGAGACAGTCGAAACCGTCGTCGCCCCTCCACCCCCTCCTCCCGCCGCTGTCGCGACGCCGCCAGTCGAGCCACCAAAACCAGCACCAGCGCCCGCGCCCGTCGTGCCCAAGGCTGCAGAGCAACAGCAGCAGAAGCCGCAAAAGCAAGCCCCGGCCAACAAGAAACCGCCCACGGCGCCGAGGGGTGGTCTCGCAAACTCCAGATTCGCCGACCCCAAGCCGGCCCCTGCTGCCCCGCGCGGCCCTCGCCAGGCAGCCCCCGCCGCCGTCACGACTCCCCCTCCGGCCGCGACCGCGACCACGCCCGCGCCCAAGCCGCCCACCGGTCCCGCGGCGCAAAACTCACCTGCTCCCGCCGTTGCACCGGCTGCCCCTGCCGCCGATGATGCTGCTGTCGCCCCTCCCCCGGCGGCCGCAGCCCCGAGCGACGCGGCCTCTCCCAAGAGCAATTCGCCCGCTCCGGCAGCAGTACCTCACGCACCCCGCGAAAAGAGCGCCGCCGCCGCTCCCGGCGCAAACACTGCCCTCAACGCAGAAGCCCGCCTCGGCTCGGGCGCGAACCCACGTACCAAACTAAGCGAATCCCAACTCGCCGCCAAAATGGAACAGATGCGCATCCTCAACGCCGAAAAGACGCGCAAGTTCGAGCAGGCGGAGCAGGACGAGCGCAGCCACGCGGAGGCCTACGCGCGCGGCATGGAGGAGGCGCGGCAGCGCAAGAAAGCCGACGAGGAGAGGCGGCGGCGCGGCGAGGAGGAGCGTCGGCGCATGGACGACGAGCGCGCCAAGAACCGCGAGAGGAAGCTCAAGGCGATGAGTATCAAGGAGGGCGGGTGGGACGAGGGCAAGGAGGCGCTCGCTGCTGAGGAGGAGAGGAGGGGGTTCCGGGGCGCGAATGGCGGGGTTCGGGGGACGAGGTCTGCGGGGCTTGCCGGGAGCCGGTTTGCTTCGAGGGAGGATGAGGCGCCGCAGGGTGATCGGTATGGTGGTGGTGGTGAAGAGCGGAGAGGTGGTAGGGGCCGTGGAAGAGGTCGTGGGCAGGGGCGGGGTGGACGCGGCGGTCGTGGCGGGTATGGGAATGACCATGAACGGGGGGATTCGAACGGCGCTCGGGAAGCTAAGGCTCCTGCCGCCCAGGCTCCCGCACCGGCGCCGGTCATCAGCACCGAGGAATTCCCTGCCCTGCCTGGTAAGGCTACGAGCGGTGCCATTTCGCCCCCTGTCCTGTCGCCTCTTGGTAGGTGGGACGACGAGATGGAGGCCTTTGACGAGAAGCTCAAGAACGCCGCCGCGCAGTCTTCTTCTTGAGGACTATGCCTGAGCGGACAGTAAAGCTTTACGACGAGGAGAAGCATCACGAATTGGATCACAAAATTACAGCGACGACGCATTTTGAATACGCCACTATGAGGGGAATGAAGAGGGATTGGAGTACATTATAGTTCGCTTCTAAGCATGGTTCCTCACTAAGCGGGCATCCAGGGTTTGCGAGTCTCGTCTTCAGCAGGTACCGTTACGAGCGTGAATACAGAATGCCGTCTGGGACTGCCCAACGCCGCCGTCTATGTTCCCTTGAGTTGGGTCCTTCGCAATCTTGACCCGTGATGCTGGCCATCGTGGAATCAATGCCGTTGCCGACTGGATCAGTTGTGATCGTAGGCCTAAAAGACTTAGTATGAAGCAAATCAACCTCCAGTGGTATCGTCACCCACGTTTTACATCCTTCAAGTATCATGCTGAACGTCTGTGTGTTTGGGTTCCACAAGCTTGGCTCGTGGATCGAAGAGTATTGGCGGTCGGTTCCTTTCGCAATACTCAGTCATATTCCAAGTGCTCAGGGTAGCATGCTGCTCTTTTTCAAGATCTGACGGGCAACGTCGACATAGGCTCCTAATTCGGATTGCCGCCCATCAACTCTTCATCCTCTGGTTCGGGTTGAGCTGCGATCATCTTCAAAGCGTTCCACTCCCCGGATGGGCCTACCATCCACCGCCGCCACCGCCACGGTATCCCCTGCCACCACGCCCGCGGTACCCTCCACCGCTCCTGGGACCTCTGGGACCGCCGGGTCCCATGTTGTCGTCGTCCATCGGTGCGCGTTGGCGGTGGCGCATCTCCTTGGGGAACGCGTCAAAGGTCTTGCGCATCTGGGCGTAGCCGAGATGCATCTTTCCGTAAAAGTGGTCCGCTAGACGGCGGTCGTTGTCCAGCCTACTGAGGTAGGCGCCGCAAACGTCGCAAACTTGCAGCTTCTGGTGGCCGGACGGGCCCGAGGTGTCTGACAGGGCCTTGAGTTCCTTCTCGCGGTCCAATTTTGTTTGCTGTGCTTGGCGTACTCGGTAGAATTCGTCGATCGCGCGGGATACTTCGGCCATTTCTCCGAGGATTTCGACTTCGAGGGTGCCGTTGTGAATTGTGGAGGAGAGTTCAGCGATGCTTTTCAGCTGTGACATCGTTAGCTATTAACTAGTGCGGTGCGAGGGAGTGTTGAGGCCATACCAAGGCATTTGTTTGGCGGATCTCGTCGGGCGTCTTCTCAAGTCTGCGCTGTGCTGAGTCTATCCTCCTGTTGCAGTCGTCGATGTACTTTTGAAGGTCGCGCATGTAGTCGTACTCAAAGCCGTACTTTTGCTTCTCCTTATCTGACAGTCCCTCGTATTCGGCCTTGAGTGCTTCAGAGTGCTGCTTTGGGCAAGGGCCGAGATCTTGCTTGGTATTCGTGAAGAGGTCGTGGGGGCATGTGCCGACGAGGAATGATCTGCAGACTTTAGGATCTGTCATGGAGAGCGAGGCTGCCCGCGTACTAGCCGAGCCGCCCATGAGCTGCTCCAGCAGCTTTCTCTGTTCTGCTGCCATTGTATGTGATGCTCGATGGTGCCTGTCGAGATTTGTTGAGTATACGATATATCGTGGCTTGGCGTGGAGTTTTGTGGATGGGTCAATTGGGTATCTTAAATTGAAGGTAAGGAAATTCGCGAAGTTCTGGGGAAGAAGGCGTGTCGCGCGGGATGAACCATGGGCGGAATGTGGAGAGCTGTAAAAGGTACTTTCCCCAAGGCGTGGTTACATAAGAGGGATTCTGCCGGACTACACCGCCCAGACATCCCCCATACGACCACCTATACGACCTCACCTCCAACGGCATTACATGTGCCGCCGTGCAGGGGAGAGACCGCAGCAGACGCGAATCTCGTTCTTTTGCGCTGCGACACTCCCTTCATGATGCGCCAATTTCTGGCGGCCATTCTTTTCTCTTGCCTCGCCTCCTTTGGCCTGGCTGCGGATTACCACGAGCAGCTGAACCTCCGCCCGCTGCCCCTGTCCGCCCTCCTTGCGAGCTTCAACTTCCGGTCCAATACATCGCTATCTGATTTCGACTTGCAAAACTTCCGATACTTCCCCCGGTCGTTGGGTCAGATTCTTCAATATGCCGGGACGAGAGAGCTTCATCTGAGATTCAGCTTGGGAAGATGGGATGCCGAGAGCTGGGGAAGTCGGCCTTGGGATGGTCAGCGCGAAGGCGGGACGGGCGTGGAGCTATGGGCATGGCTTGAGGCCGAGACGGACGAGGAGTATGTCACTCACTTGTCATACTGTAGATGGATTATACTTACACGCATGCAGGGCGGATCAGAAGTGGTTGACCCTCACCAATGCTCTTTCAGGACTCTTCTGCGCATCGCTTAACTTCGTCGACGGAACCCGAACCACACGACCGGTCATGTCATTCCAACCCGAGGGCGACCACCCCGAAGCATCCATTCCGAACATGCAGCTCCTCCATGGCGTTCTGCCAAAGGAGGTGGTGTGTACAGAGAACTTGACACCCTTCTTGAAGCTGCTCCCTTGCAAGGGAAAGGCGGGCATCTCGAGTCTGCTAGACGGCCACAAGCTCTTCGATTCCTCCTTCCAAAGCATGGCCATCGATATCAAGCCTGTCTGCCCCGAGGGCCAGGAGTGTATTCTACAAATCGAGCAGACTATTGACATGGTTCTCGACATTGACCGATCCAAGCGACCAAGAGACAACCCGATTCCCCGTCCACCCCCTGGACACGAGTTGAAGTGCGATACCTCCAAGCCGTATCACAACGACGAAACATGCTATCCTACCGGCCTTACCACTGGTCAGGAATGGACACTGTCCCAAATTTTCGGAAAGTCGATCAAAGGCACATGCCCTCTGACAGACGAGGATGTGCCTCCAGTCTGTATTGAGGTTCCCCACACCCGAGGTGTGTATACGTCTGGCGGAGCTACGGAGATCTTGAACCCCAATGGAGCATCGCGCTGCTTCAAAATTGGTGCAGATTCAGAGCTAGAAATTGTTCTCCCCTTGGAAGACAAGGAGGGACAGGATCCTACCAAGGAATTGGTCGAACCGCCCACTCCTCTCATCTACGCTGAGCGCAGTTTCACTGGACACGGACAAGAGCATGGCGGTATGCAAGCCATTCTTACGAACCCAAGCAAGGACACGGAGGTCGAGTTCATCTACATGGAATCGCTTCCCTGGTTTATGCGAGTTTACCTCCATA